ATTAGAAACAAGCTGTGATTTAACAAATACACATGGATTAAATTAATATGACTATGTTGGATGTTGTCCTAATCTGTAAGCAAATATTCAGTTCTTAGAAATATGTATAATTGTCATACGTATAGCAGACGATGTTAACTAAGTAATTTCAAATACGAGCACAATGATAAGCTATTAAATGTACAAATGACTGCCTGATTATAATAAATAGTTTGTAACAATTGTTCTAGCAATAACTTGAGTTATTTCAAATAATAAACAATCAATAAAATCACAGAGATACAAAATGCGAAACTCTGGCTAGTATGTACGTCACATCAACAAAGATGGCAGCGGGTTGTATACAAGAGTATCCAGAACAAATAAATCGCGCTATTACAGTTCTTTAAGATTATAACATCTCACCCCCAGTTCATGAATAATGACAAGAAAACATGTAGTTTGAAAACGTATGTGACCGAATTCATGAGATACTGAATTAAATTAGAAAATAGATTATTTACATATCAGCATGTGCTGTAAATAGAATAAATACAAAACATGTTTTTAAAAACAGAAACTGTCTTACAAACAACTGAAATAATGTTTCTGCAAAGATGCAATAATAAAATACACAATAAAATACAGTACACTGCAGAGCTGAATGATGTCAAAATTATATATTACATTACATTATAGGTTTTACAGTCCTGACTAAGCCTAAGCCTAAGCCTAGCCTTCAAACTAATAAGTTAAAACATACTGAAATTCAATACTTAATACATAATACTTAATTCAATCCGACTTAAAGAATTTTAATGAAGAAAAGTCTCTCTCTGATTTACAAACTGCCAATTTTAATGCTCTTACAAATTTGCACAATCCAATTGACATATTAGAAAACTTCTACAATAAATTTAATACTATTCTCAATAGACATGCTAAGATAAAAAAAACTAAACGTGTGAGAACTGAGTCTCGTCCAAAATGGTTATCAGAGCAATTAATGATGATGGGCAATATTTAGGAGATTACAATCAACATAGAGACTTTAAAAACTTTCGCCATTGGAGGAATAAAGTACTTATTACAAATCAACAATTAGATGACTTCACACCAGCTTTTCCATCGTCAAAATTAAAAACTATTTATATAGTAATATTCCGCTATCATCTGCATATGGTCCTTATGTCTCACACTTTATTTGATACCCAAGAGTATGCCTTGAGTACGATCAATTAAAAACCGAGACAGGCTACTGACAGATAAGTTGATGTTACAGGGATTTCAACAACCTCGTTTAAAGTCAGCTTTTCGTAAATTAGTTAGAATGGTCTTTATAATGACCTTGTTAGCAAATATAACCTAACACTGGGTCGTATTTTGACTGACAATTTCACACCAATTGTTAGGCCTTCGTTTTTATGCTAAGTTTGACTAAAGACTATTCCGTTAACCTGATCAATACATTGGACTCACGGCGGGTGTGACCGGTCGACAGAGGATGCTTACTCCTTCATTGGTCCCCGTCTCTAAAAACTTTATGCAAATGTAATTTCGAAGCCCATAACTCATCTTATTAATACTAGACTTACTTATGACATCTTTCTTTCACATTTGAAACAAGCTTAAGTAAACCCTATATATAAGAAGGGCGATAAACTACCGACCAGCTTTTAAAAAATCACTGAAAAGCACATAGATAATGAAGTACGTGAATTATCCAGAGTCTTTAACCACATTATGAGCTCTCAGTCCAGTTTTAGATAATTCCATTCTTGCCAAATACACTGTAGACCGGTCACGGTAACCTAGTGGTAGGGAGCTCACTTTGTGATTGAGAGGTCCGGGTTCGGTTCTCGTTCGCCGCGCTGCGTCAAACCTAAAACGTAAACATAGATAGTGACTGTTCCTTCGCCAAGTGCCCGACACAAGAAGTCAAAATCACGGGTCTTTCGGATGAGACCTTCAAAACCGAGGTCCCGTGTCAAGATAAAGAACCCTTACTGCTCAATGGCCCTGAGTACCGAGTATAGGTCTAAATTTGAAGTCCTTCACTCGCATACGGTGACCTCTCTATATGAATGAAAAATTCTCGAATTGGACGTTAACAACATCAATCTTGCCAAATAGCACTAACCAAACTTACTGGTTGCATGCGATGGACCAAGGAAATCTAATAGGCATGACGTTTCGAGATTTCAGTAAAGCATTTGATTTGTTCAGCCATGATATTCTAAGTGAGAAATTAAGACACTAGAACTTTGATTAAGTGGTTTCAGTCTCATTAAACGACGAGACCCAAAGTGTAAAAATTGGTGCATGTTCTTTCGATATTTCTTGTGATAACAGGAAGCTACAGGGATCTATTTTTAGTCCACTCTGATTTTATTGTATATAAATGACATTCCTTTATGTGTTACTAGTAATTGATATGTTTTTTACGCTCCGTGAAATAAAAAAAAAAATTCCATTAAAGAAAAATTAAAAAAAAAAAAAACAAAACGAAAATCAAACGACGGGAATTTTTTGGGGGTGGGTGTGTTGTACATCCTTAAGTACCAGAAAAGTCTTCTATAATGCATACATTTTGCCTTCAATAAACTATGCTCTTACGGTTTGGGGTAATGTATCTAAAACTGAAAGAATCCTTAAACTATAGAAACGGAGCCGCTGGAATTATATTTGATGAAGCACCCAACGAACTATCAAAACCTGTTTTTGAAAAACTAGGATGGCTAAATGTGTTTCAAGTAGTTACACTATATAAGTGTATTTTATTGTACAAAACTCTTTTTTTTTTGCATAAACCCTGAATATATCCAGGATCTTGTTTTTCATTGTGTTATGATTCCTATTTTCTGCGTTCAGAATTCAATTATAATCGTTGTTTACCAAAGCATGGAACAATCCTATTTAAAAACTTTCTTCAATATTCTGGCTCACATTGGACAGCATATCATGAAATGTAAAATTATTGCCATCTCTATCTGTTGTTGGAAGAATTGCAGAAAAAGATTATTATAAGCTAAAGTCTGTAAATGGATGTTTTTGTATTTCCTTCATATATATTTCCATGCACTTTGTCTTCTTCGCTTTGTATATTTACTTCTTTATTTGTCCTATTTCTCAGTTAGTTGTACATTATATTTAATTATTCAATTAATGAGCTTATCATTAAATGTTTGCGTTTGATTTTGTCATCTTAGGTATCTTGTTTGAAATGTAGAAGACAGAGAGGCAATGAAAATTCATTATTAGTTTATTTGATGAAATATTCAAACAAGTGCCTACCTTGAAGTCCCATGCTCTGATCTTGGTTGGATGTTATGCTTTTAAATCTTATGCTCTCCTATTGCTAATTACGATGGTTAGAAATTTCCAGGAGAAAGCCATTGAACGATTTATCCAACAAGCTTAGAAAAATAGAGGAAGATTCGAAGAAGCAAGAATACCAGTGGGCTTCATAAAAATTTCGTGTCAATTGAATGTGAAATATGTGATGTATATCTCAACAAAATTTCCTAAATGTTTAAGGATGTAAATGTGTAACAAATTTTCTTTTGCATAAATTATTATGTTTTACTCATACAAACGGTTTTTGCAAATAAAATGTAAACATATTTTAGTGATATTCATTTAAAGTAATATCAGTTATACCAATAAAATCAAAACAAACTCAATGATAAGATAAGTTTTATTTGAAATACATTTAATGTATGTAAATTTTTCAAGTAAAAATACAAAAAAAACACCCTTATTTTTTGCGATATTTTTACAAAAGACGATACACAATTTATCAATAAATGTCTTAAGGTAGAACCTATGTCGGAAAAGTCTTTGTCACAAGATTTTCAAACTTTTCAAAATGATAAATTAGCACTCGTTTATCAATCAGTTAAAAATATGTGGTATGTTTCCTTGTTACTAAATGTAGTGCAGCCTGTGCAACTTGGAATTATAATTTTACACTGCGACTACATATTTTCAGCCATTTTTAGGGGCACTGATCATAAAGAGAATATAGAAAATCACAAAAATAAATTTATACATCGTTGTTTATAGACTTTATTAACTGAACAGTATTAAGCAATATTATTCAAGAATAAATTCTTTTTTTTTTATTCAATTGTCATAAAAGATTAAGTCCACATTTCAACGAATATAGGAAAATGTGCTCAATATTTTTTGAGTCAATTTACCACATAAATTTGTAAATATTTTTCAAAAGTCTTTGTCAGAATGTTTTCAATCTTTAATATGAAGAAGAATATAGGCCTACCCAAATAATTACAAAAAGTGATTAAAATATATACTTTTCCCGACAATCGAATGAGAGACACTCTATTTATTAATACTTCTTTTGTTGACCTTTTTGCACTTACACAGGATTTAATTATTAAATGACTGTTTTGGGGTTAAATATTTATGAAAGGGAATGCATGTCATTTCATGATAGACAATACAAAATTTACCCACAATTTTTTAGAAGATCTTTGACTCAGACACATTTCATGTACTATTTAGATATCATAGGATTTTTGATTTCCTTCAAAATAGTTGCATGTCATTCACATTATCACAGATGTGTAACTTCATTACAAGATATAGTCTTGGAGAAAGTACGGGAAAAAGTAACATTAAATTAATTATGACATCATAATGAATCTAGCACCAAAAAGACGATCTAAACTCATTTACTTGATATGACGTCATACGACGTAGGGTCTACGTTAAGACAACATTAAATTATCTACTCACTTCCATGAGTGGAGGTTGTGTAGACAAGGGTCATAACAAAATATTTTTGCTTTTTTCAGCAAAATATATTTTTTCATATTGACACACAAATTCAGCAGAAAACTTTTGAGTAATGAAAGAAAATTATTATTTTATCAATGTATCACTGCAGACATCAATAGAATGAATTTGCTAGGAAATCAACTATCTGTGATTACCCATCGTAGCTTTTTGCCACATTCACAAAATGTATTTTTTCTTTTATTTGCCAAAAAGTGAACCTGCACCTGCCCCAGCACCTGCTCCGAGCCCCTGACTGAGTGCCCAGGCTGCAGCAAGTCCTAGTCCCAGTGCTGCAATGGCGTTACCAGTACCGCTTGAAGAGGTCGAAGATGTTGTTGTAGCTGTAGGATCAACAGCTAAAAACACAAGGACAGCATTAAATGAATACTTGGCAATTGTTTTTCTCTTTCAAGTGTCAAAGATCATTAGAAATACTTCTAGCTATTCCAAATTTTCTCTTCTGTGTATGAAATTAATATATATATATATTCAATATTAAAATCTGACAATGAAATAGAAAATTCCTGATCTTCTTTCTGTCCACAGTGTGAACTATAAGTTGCAGTAGACACCAAAAATGTCTAAAATACTGAACTGTAAAATCTTACTTCCACAAGCTGCACCACTGTATCCATAGTAACAGATACATTTTCCAGTAGTAGTGGCGGAAGTGAGAGAGGGGGTACCCGCAGTGGTGAATGTATCAATCAAACAGAATCCGTTTGCAGTTCCCGTACAAACAGTCGTGGCCCCAGGGTTACCTGACGTGGGTATGGTGCAAGTTTGTCCACCATAGCCTGCTAGGGCAAGGTGGATTCCTGAAATAATGAAAAAGTTATTGAGACCTTCATGTAGAAGGTGGTTAAATGCACTATTTACAAATTAATATTATAATATTTGAATTAATTGTTCACTTGACTCCCGGGTTTACAGCACAAACAAATCCACCGAAAAAAATATGTCCTTAAAATTGATGTAGAATTCATTTTATTATATTGACATTTGATAAATATTTTTCATATAACAACTAATAAACCTGTATAAAAAAATAGCATTCAATTATAGCGTTCAGGTTCAAAACATTTGATCACAGTTCAGTGTGCTGCCTGTGTCAAAGCAGCCGCCATTTTCAACAATTCAGCAGCTGTTCGAACAGATAAAATTTAACAAAATACAAATAAATTAAAACATATATTTATATTCATTAAAACATATAAGATAAAATGGAAGGAAAGGTTGTTAATAATTGCATACTAGGAATATTTATTTCTGTCCCTGAAATTCTGAGGAGTAAATGCTTTTTCGTTAGATTTTAGATATCATATACATATTTTTTCACTGCAATTTGCACACTGTAAATAGCGTTCATCTTTGTAAATACTCAATATTTATGATTAGTTAATGTAGGTGTATTTTCTTTACCACATTTTTCGAATGGACATACAAAATCGCAATTCATTGTTTACATCTGGTGAGTAATATTTTTAACCCAACCATATACTATTAGAAGTATTCCATGTTGAATGGATTACTACTATTATTGTTCAAAAATGTATTTATCAATTTTTTTTCGGTATTACATGCATATTTTTATTTTATTTTATTTACTGTTTGAAATGAATGGATGAATGCTCTTATGCCGAGATTTGACATTTTCCAGATTTTAATATATGTAAATGGTTCTTAAGATATACACTCCTTTGTCATGTCTGTCATGAAAATGAAAATGAAAATATCAACATTCCGAAGGCAAATTCTGAAGGATATAACCAATGAAGTCAGCACAAAACTACCCGATGTCATATCTTGAAGAACGGTATAGCCGTTTGAGGTTTTTTTAACTTCACAAGAATGAAAACAAGGAAGACACTAAGAATTTGGACTGTGAATCCCACTCGCCGTTTAAATTGGTATCGTAGTTTATTATTCAGGGCATTGAATAATCATTTGAAAAAGGTGATATTTAAGGAATAACTATCTAATTTTTTGGTTTCATGATGTGATCAATCGATTGGCTTGCGTGATAATTTGCATAAACGCCGAAGGCAGTGAAGAAACTCAGGTTCATATTGACCAGAATAATCAAGTTTATGTCCGGAGAAGGTCGGACGAAGTATGGCAACCAGAATGTCTTGGCGTCAGTGGAAACGGAAAGTACTCGGCAATGTTTTGGATTGAGTTACTCACGAAGGAGTCGAAACATTTACAGAAGTCGATGGGAATATCCCTTATCAAAAGTATATAAACATTTTGGACACAAATTCATGACCTGTTATTACTCATTTTCCGAATGAGGACTATTTATTCCAAGACGATATTGCTCCAGTCCACTCATCTTCTGCTTATAAATTAGGCTATGGAAAACCAAAAATGATACTAAAAGTCTTACTTGGCCATCACAATCTCCACACATAAACATCATTAAAAATGTATGGAAGACCTATCAGGATGGTGAAAGAAATATGGCGGTCACTGCCTCAGTATTACATTCAGAGCTTGTACGCTTCTATTCACTACTGAAGAACGATCTCACTCTTAAACCACCTTTATGTTACGACCCCCAGGAATTTACCTTCATTTGTAAAATAACTTTCATCCCTTTATCCAACAAATGAATAATTATTCCTTGGACTGATATATGTTCTGCCAGACAATACATATCAACTCATCAGAGTTATCACTGAAAATAACCCTGTTTCTTACGAGATTGGAACATTCAGTAATTTTGAAACAATCAAACTTTTATGTGAGATTATAAACTTGATAATCATATGTGCACAATGGGCATTCGGGACGTATAAAATTTGCACGAAAGCAAACCCACGAACTACATTTACGTAGAGTAAATAAGAAAATTCAAAGATATCACTGTATACTTTTTAAAAATAATTCAAGCACTTTTGACTTATTATTTATTGCTGAATATTTGATATCAGAGGAAATCGTTTTTAACTTAATTATGATTCTATTTCAAACAAAACAATTTTTGACCAAAAACAAATTCCCTCCGTCTCGATTTTTAACAAATATTTGTAAATTACTGTCCCTTGCACATTGTTTAAAAGAATTTCATGTCTACATTGAGTTTCATGAATTGAAAGTTAAAATTCTCACCAACAGCGAGGAACCCAACACACAGTATAACCTTAGAGTACTGCATGATCGCCTAGTCTGCTTGAAAGAAAAAAAAGAGCGTGGGTAAAAAAAAAAGAAGAAGAAAAACAACATCTTTCAGTTAGCCAGATACATTTGTTTAAAACTAGTTACTAGATGAAATGGCAAATCTATGTTAAGCTTAATTATATAATTTAAACTATGGACATCTTGTCGCTGTTAAAAAACACTTTATAATATATATAGTTAAAAAAGGAAACAACTTTACATAGGCTTGATACTTTCCAAGGGCCTTAAAATATTTACCTCAGAAATGACTGTGCGGCTGTTCGACAGGAGAGGCTATTGAAGACTGAGATTATTGTGAGATGTATTTATTCTAATTACAGTATCCATCATAGTTACGTAGAGTCCGAGGATTTACTCTACGCTGCGGAACTATAAGTTCCCATCAGGTTACTAACGAGCAATTACCATTACCAAAATACGCGTAACAGATATGTAGTAGATTACCAAGCGAAATAAGTAACAGAAACAGAGTAGATTGTCAGATTGAGTTTGAGCATTATAAGATCAAACAATTTTACATTGAAGCTTTTTTTTCAACATCAAACGATAGGAAGCAAACAAAGTACCAGGGAGGTAGTTCATGAAAACTGCGTATATCGAAGTATTTTTTTGACCGAATATGAAGACCACTGGGTTTGTGTGTTATTCGCTGAATAGAGACGTAAAGAACCAGGTGTATGCGGACGCTAGAAAGAGAAAACTTGGAATGACTTAACGCAAAAATTTAATGAGGGAGAAACAGTTGGAAGAGGAAGCTTCTCGAACTGTTTTAAAAGAGACTAAAAGACATACACCCAGATAATAAGAAATGAAGATTAGGAGATATGCATGAGGATAACTGAGATCCGTGCGAAACGTCTACATATAAAAATTCATATCATATGTCGAATCAGCCCTCGGGCGCCATATCAGGGATATCATTCTTAGATGCTAAACTCTTTAAAAACGCGTCAAAATTTAAGTTAAAGAACACCGAAATGCATATCTTTGTTAATAGTATCATAGAATTTGATACACCATACTTAAATAACGCATTGCACACAATAGCTGATATCAAAGCAATTTTCAGTGACTGTAGAAAGATACCATGTCGTGAATAGCAGTAGAATTACTTCATCATTAATGCTGACTTGTCTACGTAACAAAAACTCAATGGCAAAGTATAAATAAAATCATAGTGTGAATTACAGCCACATAAATACCATACTCACCATGATTAATTTTACACAAAACGAACTGCAAATCCTGAAGTTCATTTTTTGCTCATGAGACTTTTCGAAATTTACATTTTTTTTGGTTCTATTTTCATTGATTTGTTTAATATATTCAATACTCGTGCAATGAATAAATCTATATTACTGAAAATGTATTTCGTCGAAAGAAAAGAAGTAAAATTAAATTCCTTTAAAATTTTAAAGAAGTGCCTTTTTTAGAAGACAAAAACTAATTTCAGGAAATATCCAAATATATGTTATTTTCGTTCACGATAAGACCAGAAATCAAACTGTTTAGATAACAATTTCTTAAAATACATTGAGTATTAATCTTACAAATAAATAAGTATATGAAATGACAATGAAAAAAAAAGATACCTACCAAGGCATGCTAACTAATCTTTAAAAATATTAAGTTCACAACTGTCTTTCCACAGTCATAATTTACTTCTTATAAATACCCTCATCCAAGGGTAACCTTCGGAGCGGGATTGTAATGAATGACTAATTGAAATGTATTTTTAAAATTGTTGAGACACGTTTCATGATAATAATCGAAATTTGATAAAAATTTCTTCTTTTAAGATTTTTTTTCAGAAAAAATATCGGGAACAAAATCAAGAACAATATGTATTGCAGCAACGAAGCAAAATTTGAAGGAAAAAAATAATAACTTATAATTTAAAAAATAATTCGCATTTTCTACCGCTTAAACACTTGTACAATGTTTATTACGTAATTTTATTGGTTAAAGCGGAAAATAAACGTACAAGAGAATATGAAATTTACATACATGCATATTTAAAGAATCTGAAAAATGGAAACATTTTTATGTTGAATAACAATACTGATGAAATCACAATTGTTTGTTGACATCAATTATGACGAAATAATATGACATAATATGACACAACAATGCCTTGAAAATGGATCTAATTTATATTCTAAACATACATTTTAAATAAAATGTTTTTCATAAATTGATACTTAAATAATAAAACTATTGATGCTTTTAATCGTACATTTTCTTTTTTTCCCCCTGATTTCCTTTTTCATTATGGATTTAACTTCTTCTTGAAAAATAATCACTAGACAACAAATAACGATCTTAACATAAACGAATACTAATTTCTGACTCTTTTTAAAAAAGCTTAATGTCTGCAAATATTTTTTTTCTTATATGAACCAACCAGAAAGCAATAGCATGAACTTTTTCAAGGGTCACTAGATCAGGTCGATAACAGAGTAGGTTGGGGTGTAATTCAATTGTATTTTTTTTCAACGGAAGTTATCTTGTGACCAACCAAGTTCTCTCACAGTAAACCTTATCTATTTATTTCTTAAATACTCTTGTAACATGTAGAATTGAACTAAATCTTTAATCCAGGAGGTTGATCCAGGTGTTAAACTTTAAATGATTACAGAAATTAATCCCACTTTCCTGTAGTTATTAGCTTTTTAGGATAAATTTTATCACGACTTTCTAAATTTTACTGGGGGGGGTGGGTGGGATATGATATGCGCCTCCCCCAAAATCAACAATTACTTTAACAATAGAAGTAAGGATGCCGATCCTAAACTGTGTTTACTATGTCTTATAGGTATCAATTAACACCAACAATTTGCTTGATACATGAGGAGTTATATGCTTAATGCAGAAAGGCAATAAAAGTCCACTACTTTAGCTGATGAGAAAATTCATCAAGTTTTGTTCTGACCAATTTCAGGTTGTTGTAATGTTCCATGCTTTGAACTTGATTGGAAGTTATTTCTATTAACCCTTATCCATAATTATTAATATATAGTTACGATAGCATGAACATCCCTAGAGAATGCCATTGAACGACTTATCCAGAAAGCTTAGACTAAAGAAAAGGAAGAATTCGGGGAAGGAATAAAATCCCAGTGGGCTTCATAAAAATCCAAAAAAAGTGCATATGATTGATCTTCATGAATCTCACTTCAGGAAATTTTTTTTTACAGTTTCATATTGATATGATTCATATTGGTGTTTTAGCAAAAATTACGAAGGTTGTCCAGCTAAATCGTTGACTTCGCATGTAACTGAAAAAAATAATGAATGCATTCTCCGAAAATTTTATAATTTACAAATGACTTTAAATAATACCTGAGAAGTCTCAATCCAATATCTCATCAAAAATTGGATGAGAAAGGAAAAGGTTATGCATCGCAATGAATTGTCTCCAGCTTGCACAATGTGTTTTTGATAAAGATACGCCCATCTATGTAATTCATTTTTAAAACCAAACTGATTTTGACTCCGAATAACTGTCATCATTGTTAATTTATATTATTCCCATCTCTCTGACAAAATTTTTTGGAAAGTGTCGCAACCCCAGCCAACACAGATTTCAGTTTCCAGACGACCAACGTCGATATCTTGTTGAACGCTAGTAGCTTTCTACAAGGACTGTGTTTAGGTCGCCAGCGGAGCTAGTGCTTTTTCTAAAAATTAAGTTATAAATCTTTGATGCAATTCCTAAACCAATTAATTAGAAATGTTTTTATTTTTCTATGTTCGGCATAAAATCAATGATGTCGGAATCGGAGTCACTCAATTTAGAACAAAACATATCCTTTGCACTATATCGTTGTGAAACGTCATTATTTTCGCCCTCTTCAATAACAGACTTTTTTTACTTTAGTTTAAGCATCAATCAGTTCAAAAAACGCAATGTCGGAAATTTGAAAATTTGCAGAGTTACTGCACAATTACTGCTTTTTAATACCTGTATACTTTTCCCTGCAATTTAAAGGAATATCTTTTAATTTTTTTCTTCACGTTTGAAACTTAAATAAAAAAAAATATGACATATTACGTCATGCGCCGAAAGGGTTTGCCATGTGAAACTCATGTAGTCTTATATCTTATATATATTACAGGATCAGTGCGTACTGGTCCCTGCTGACAAAGCAGGTGACAACATTGTCTTTGTCTGTGAGGCTCATTATATTAAATGTATTTTAGAGAAACTTGGATTTAATTCTACAAGTGGTAATCCAACTTATACTCATAGTTCCCTTTCTAAGTAAGAAATTCTTCAAAATCATATGTCAGTTTTGAATATTTATAATATTCCAAACAATCAAAATGAATTTGAATTACCATATCTATATTGGATTCCAAAACTTCATAAAAATCCTTACAGACAAAGATACAGAGCGGGTTCCAGTAAATGTTCAACCAAGCCTCTTTCTTTACTCCTCACTAAGATATTAACAGTAGTGAAGGAGAAACTTCATGAGTACTGTGCAACAATATATTCGAGAAGTGGTGTAAATCAGATGTGGATACTTAAAAATTCCAAGGAACTTTTGGAAAATTTGAAATCACAAGAATTTACCAAAATCAACAGCGTAAAAACTTATGACTTTTCAACTTTATACACAACCATTCCCCACGATGAATTAAACTCCAGGCTTTTTGATTTCATTGACAGCTGCTTTTTCAATAAAAATGGAACTCCTAAATTTACTTACCTTGTCATTGGTCATTTGCAAAATTATTTTGTTAGAAAACACTCTGATTGTACACACAAGTACTCTGAAGTTGACATTAAAAAGATGGTCGAGTTTCTGATTGACAATATCTATGTGGTTTTTGGAGACCAGGTCTTTCAACAATCTATTGGAATTCCCATGGGTACCAATTGCGCCCCGTTATTAGCAGATCTTTTTTTGTATTCATATGAAGCAGAATTTGTTCAAAGTCTGATGCGTGAAAAGAAGAAAACACTTACTG